AGGAGGAGGAGGAGGAGGAGGAGGAGGAGGAGGCTGAAGAGGGGTCAGAAAGCTCTATTAAACAGTGGTGCCGAAACTGAAAGTAGACTGATGACTTTCAGCTCAGTAAATTATTTCAGAACCAATACTAGATTACTGGATTCACCGCAACTGTTTGTAATAAATGAGAACATCAATAAATAATAACAATAACAATAAATGTCACCAATGTCCAGCCGAAAGAAACAAACATTTGTATATGGGATTAGGTCGAGATTCCAGAAATAATTTTCTTGGCGAGCTGTCCCGGGCAGTTGTTATATTTAATAATTTACCATTTATTTTCGAGAGTCAAACAGCCAAACACACGTTTCCAGCCACTGATATTTAGGTATGGCATTTTGAAGGTCTAAGATCTGTTTCCCCACGGAAACATACAATCTTGATAGTGTAGTCCCTTAAATAATATTTGGTGCATTTTCCACATTCTGTAATCCATTTGCTTAAAACTGTTATTTGCGTGCAGGACATCAAAGTTTGCATTAGCGGCGTGAACATTATTATAAATTAGAAATAGTATTTAATAATTAATTTATTTCATAATATATATTGTTTTAGGATATGAAAAATGGGATTTATTGAAATCATGTACTGACCGTGGTACACTGTGTTCTGAAATCCAACATTCCGTTTTGACTTCCAAATTGTCGTTGTTTCATCGACTATAAATCCCTACCAAGCCCGTCCTTTTTTAGTTCGAATCTCGTCAGAGCAGAGCTTAGATAGTAAATAGCTCCGTAAAACGAAGCTGTTGTCAGGACGAAGATGTGCCTTGTTTTCCCGACCTTCGTGAAGAAAAGAAGATCCAGCATTAGGGAGAGGATATTCATCAGTGTTATTTCTCTTCCCATGTATCCATTCTCGCCCATGTGCACTGCAGGTTAACCACAGGGCCTAAATCAGCGTTTGACTATTATATTTTTGTAGTGACTTTATGCAACAAGATAAATTTGACACGAAACTTCAGGATATATTTAAATACGGAATTGGCGGTCGAATGCACTGTGCGACACGATAGGCAAAGAGAAAAACAGCTATACACGACATACTCTGCATTAAAATAACTATATGACGGAGTTATCAGAATTAAATGTTTAAGAAGGAAACGAAAACTGGTTTTTAACAGTATTAACGCGTATTACAAACATTTATAAATTTCGTTTTATATACACCACGCAGATTGAAAAAAATCGTTAATTTATTTTGTACGTATTAAGAAAAACCAGTGTGCTTTGTACAAATTGATTTTATGTGTACCGGACATGGTGTTCACTTTAATTCTTTGGACCATCACACGAAATTTACGACCAGCACTTAAATTGTCATACTAGAGCGAAGCTCAAGCGAATAAATTTTGGCAACGAGACTTCTCAATGTTCTTCCCCCACATTTGCATACCAGCTCATATAAGAAAGAGACTATCATTATTGGACTCAAAAGGCAATGCTATGAAATTAATTATCTCTGTAGAGTATGTTTTGTCTCCCAGCATTCTATGACCAAATGTTTTTGCAGAAATGCAAATGAATGGCCATAAAATCACTTACCATGCCATTGGCTACGAAGTATAGGAGCTATCTTACACAACTGTTTTGCGGTAAAAATATCCTTGAACTGCAAATGCTTAATATGTTCATTGCAAATGAACCTAGAAAAGTTATAACTAAAGCACTTTGCACGCAATTTGACATAATTGTTAATGCACATCTTTAAATGGCTGTTTACACTGACGACTAAACAACTAAAAACCAGTTGTCGTAAAATCTTGATTTTGCAAACTACAATACAATCTTAATTTTGCAAACTACAATACAATCTTAATTTTGCAAACTACAATACAGTCTTAATTTTACAAACTACAATACAATCTTAATTTTGCAAAATACAATACAATCTTAATTTGGCAAAATACAATACAATCTTAATTTGGCAAAATACAATACAATCTTAATTTGGCAAAATAGAAAAAACCAAAGTAAACTATGGTATGCATAAGCAGAAAGAGAAACTTCCCGTTTCAACATTCCATACATTTTGCTTATCATGTTACATTTATTGCATACGAAACCCAAGTATTCGGGTTCATTAATATGCACTATAGAGGAAATTCTTCAAATTTGTGTGACCTTGATACAAATCCACCATATCCATGGAGAAGGTATAAGTAAGGGAGACAGCGGTTCTCAGCTCTCGTCACTTCCTCACCAGCGCCGCGTTGACGCAGCCTAGGCAACCCACCCGACAAATGCGTAATGCATGTAGTATTGCGTGATTCAATTGGTGAAATGTTAATTTTCTTAACCACTGACGAAATGCGATTTATTATCCGAGTTCACACAAAACCAAAGAATAAAACTGAATTCTTAGGATTTTCCTAAAATGAGGATTTTCCTAACACACCTCACCAGCTTCTATATTTTAAATTCAGAATTACTAATTTAAAATAAAATTATGGATAACGGATAAGAAATTAGTGTGGCAAAAATATTACACCCGAGTGCACATTTTGCAAAGCGAACGTCTAATTCGAAACTACATATTCTTTCCTCTTTTAGCCTATATAAATCGCATTCATCTCAGAATATTAAGATTCAAGTCAAGAGGATCGGCAGAGGAAAAAATTGACTAAGACCAACGGAAAAATGTGAAAAGGTTGCAAACACCCCATGCCAGACTTTTTTAAATTTAATAAATTACTAAAAACACGAAATAAACGCATCATAATGTATTCGGTGTTACGCCTCACACTATCCTCGGCAATATAGCATAGGAAAAACTCGATAGAACGATTTACAGTATTCATTCTACCCGCCTGTGTTCAGAACCCTTCACATTTTGTTGCCGCGAAGTGACTTCATTTTCTCTTCGCTGACAGCAGGTAGCCGCAACAGAGCTGTCAAGTAAGGATTAGCAATGATATGTGTATGTGCATCCTGTATTCGTTTTTGTACCTGCCAGGAAACTCATTAGCTTGAATCTGATTTTTAAGTCGACTTGTGCCGATGAAAAATGCTTCTATTTTTTCTTACTAATATGGTTTTCGAGATGTTAGGAACAATATCTAGCGAATGTTGAAGAGTAGGCGTTGTACTTGTAATGCCAACACCAATGCATTCGTCCGGCCTCCCACATATACATTTTACTCCCGATGCGGCGTTCTGTTCGGGTTCTAGTAGCTTCCTGCCATTGATTTTCAGCGTCAGAATCAAGTAAACATCCATTTTCCTCGAGGAAAGTTAACTTCGTTGTGAACAACGCCAAATTTTCATTATTTCGTATTGGAGTCGTAAAGCGCTCATTTAATTACACCCTCATAAAATTAAAACGTTTGAGCTATGAAACCAAATTACGCTCCCTAATTTCATTTTTTCGCTTAGCGCGTTCCATTATCACGGCATTCTACTGCGGTATTTGATGACGCCAACAGTGACGTAGAAAACAAACACACGTAAGGGAGAAATGCGCTCAGCGGCGTCAAAAACAACTTGTAAAGAAGAGTAAACGATAAAAGAGGATTTTCAAATGATTTAAGCCTTTATGATATTTCGTCTGTTGTGAATCGGAGGCGAAAGATCGAAATTCGACGTATTATATTGTTCGAAAATTGCGTTCGAAGCGATACAGGGCAGGTCGTACTCGTATCAATTATCTAATTAAGGAGTTGAAACATTTTCGCCTTAAACTCGTGAATAACTATTAATGTAGGTGCTACTTGAACTCTACTCAAAAACGTTTTTTTAAGTTTGACAATGAGGAATGAAATGGCGCATAAAGCTGCGATGGAAATTCCAGAGCGCTAGAATTGTGAGGTCGAATATCACGTAAGGACTTCACCTAAGGTTTTCACAGAGTGGCTGAGACGTGACAAACTATATTAACCACGCATCAAGAAAATAATTCTTCTTTCCTGTAAAACCGACCATTTTCTCTCTAATACTTAGTGGCCAACATTTAGCAGGGATAAAAACTAGAAGAATAAAGAGGAGACGGAAACGAATGAAGGACCGGGAAGAAGGTTGAGATTGTAATGTGAGGGAGGAGAAGTGACGCGAAAGATTTGACTCACGAATGATTCACGTTCTATCAATCTTTGTCGCGTATTTATTATTATTACACAACAATATACGGCGTACAAAAACATATTCGTCAAGGTATTTGTAACATACGTTTGAAGCAACATATGGATCCCCAGGGGGAAAAAAAGCGACGTGTGAAGAAGTGAAACCGGGAGATAAAAGCGAACAAGCAGCATCGCGTATGCTCAGCGCGTGGGAGGGTTCCCGCGCCGCCGCCTCCGATCCACCTCCTCCCAGCCTCCTTATCCCCGCTTCCTCCTCCGCCCCCGCCTCAGCCAGCTGGTCCGCTGTGCCACACATGCGCTCGACGTGCCTGGCCCGGCCCGGCCCGCGCCGGGCCTCTCCAGAACACAAAAAGCGCGTTCTCGCGCTGCCGCCGCGACGGAGCCATCTGCACCGCCGCCGCCGCAGCAGCAGACGCGAACCTAGAGGCCGCGCGCCCAGCGGCTGGCCTGGAGTCCGCGCCGCTTAATGGATGCGACTCTGAACGTCTACACGCAGTTTGGTTAAAGGGGGAATTACTCACTCCAGCCCAGACCTGCTTTTTATGACGTCGACGCTAATCTCACGTCAAATGCTCACACATTTAACATACTTCAGCACCTTCAACAGTTGATCATATTCAGTATCAAATGCGACATTATTAATGTTATGTATTTATATTATTCATATATGATTTAAACGTTTATGTTACTTATATTTCGTATTATAATTTGTGTCCGGGCATACGTAGTCTACTCGGTTTTCTAAATGTATAGAAGGGAAAATGGTGGTAATTACTATTTTCATGGGGTAAATAATGCAACAATGACGGAATGAGGAAGGTGATACAGAGTGTATATACACTAAGAAGCTCGAACGTTTCAATATGGACTATTCTTGATAGTAAAGGAAAGAGGAAAGAGATTTACATGTCCATTTATGGTCGTCCAAAATGCCATTCCTTAATTGACCAACAACAATACGTATAAAGTTTGCACGTACATACGTAAAGACAAGCCATTTGCAAAAAGTCTCCTGCAGCCAACGCCCCTTGCCCTTGCCACCAATATAAAGGGAAAGTGACAGATTTAAGTGTTCGGCTTAAATGTCGACGGCCTGTCGAAGGTCTCTGAAATCTTGGAGAAAATGCGGTTCAACATGTTTAATTCTGTTCTGTCTAGTACAATAGCAAACATTCAGTATAACAGTTTGGGTACTAGTTGGTATATGGAAAATTACGCGGCGATATACATACACGTCGTGACTACCCTTCGCGACGAAATAGAAGCGTTTGAACGAAACAGTAGCGAGATATTTCAGCATAATAAAAGTAACAGTATCGTTTAGTCATAAATAATTTAACTATACCAATTCAGACTCATATCTGCAAATCACGTACAACGCACACTATCATTGAGAGGGAACAAATATCTTTCTTTCATTCTATACTATTTTTAAGTTTATTTTAATTTTAAAACTAGAAAAAGGGAAGCAATGCAATTTTCATCGGCTGCATCGCAAACGAAGAATGCACCAGCATGATGCGACAATATTATATCGGCGCTTTGTATTCGCCATGAAAAATATATTCGATTAAAATACAATCGATTAGCAAGGACTACCCTGGTTAATGCTCGATCATTTCTGTGTCTCCGACACCGAGTGCCTATTGCCTCTCGGTACAAAAACAGAATTGCCACAGTTGAAGAGGAAGGACCTGTTCATGGTTTTCTAGATTGGAACGACTGGAATGAAATGGTTCTTTAGGAGACAGTTTTCTCAAATGAAACGGAAATTATGAGGACTATCCTACGTGAAGGTTAAAATGCACACTACAGAGTATGATACAGGGAATTCCATGCATTCTGAACCCTTAGGGCAATAGCATTCAAGTATTTAGTTATAAAAGATATATAAATGCATGTGCAGGTTTCACTCTAGCAAAACAAATTAAAGTACGCGTAGTCTCAGAAACCACGCCAAGTACTAGGATCCACGCTGTTTGCACAGAAGTATTACGTTTTCCATATTAACGAGAATGCTATCATTTCATTTCTTTTGTAGTTAGCGAGTACGAGTATACAATAACAGGAACTCTCTCAAGTTATTTGTTTAAATGTGGAAAAAATAACGTATGCCTTAAGACACAATAGAAAATTCAGGACGAGGTAAATACACTTATAAAAAAGTAAATTGGAATAGAAATATAAAAGAATCTGAAGGGCAGCATCTACTTACGATACTTCAGTTCCATAGAAGATAGCGCTCTTCAGCGTTTCGTAAAAACATTCCAACTCTACTTTTATTCAAACATAATTTCAATTTCTTTTAAGTTTTAATATTTAAGATACATTTCTGATAAATTCATATAAACACACACATGCCAGTGACAACAGTACGTACTAGGGCCACACAAAAACAGCTCACGCAAGAATCCGGTATTCGGTAAATTAAATGAAACAACGCTGACTGAGGAAACGAGACCAAATAAATTACGCCCCCCTCCCAATCTGCCACCGGTTTATCCCGTGCTCAGCCGGTGAAGTGCGCGGCGTTCCGAGAAAACAGCGGCCCCGTAAGTCAAGTCGCAGCAGCCGTTCCAGACTTCATATCTACCCGACGAGAGCGGGCGAGGCGTCAGAAATGAAAGGAAATTAAGTAAATTAATGTTTAAGGGGAGGTAAACTAGATGCCGCTATGGGTCTCACTGCGAATTTACGATTACTGCGCGCCGTCGAGGGAGTCTAATGATCTCCGGCAGGGAGCAGGCGGCCTGGCGGCGCGCTGAGGGCAGGTGATGCCCTCCCCCCCACGTGGTTTCCCCCTTGCTTTTCCGTCCGTAAACTAACTCGGTGGTCGCTGATGAAGGGCGAACATCCCGTTGGGCCCGTCCAGGTACGTCTCCCCGGACATGTCTATATCCATTACACAACAAGCGTTGATTATGTCTTCTTCCCTCCCTTCGAGCTAAACCTGAACGTCGAATCACGTTAAGAGCCCGAGGAACTCTCGAAAAATAACAAAGGCAGAAAGGCAAACAGGTTTAGCAACTTCATACATGGAAAGATAAAAGAACAATTGCATTGAACTCAAAAGGAATAAGTTTAATTCTACACTGAATTAAGTGTGGAAATGTTTGTATACGTATCCATCTCTTAATGCAGCGAAAAAACTATATATCTTTGTTCAAACTGAGCGCCACAAGTAGCTACAGTTTTTACATGAAACAAGTCGGTTACATTTATAACGGTTTGCACGACGTTTACATCGTTAGGCAGATGTCTTAACAAGGCACAAACCTGAAAATTTTACTGCAGAATTCATTTCCTCGTACTTACTGTGTTAGATCTATCACTGATAATATGTCCCGAGAAGTGTTAAGCTAATGCGCGGTTTTAAACTACAAACTTGTACACGGGACGTTTGGACTTTTACGTTTACTGAAAAAAAATACTTATTTCTTCAAACTTCTGACTGTTTCTTATGACCACGAAACTGCGTTTCTGTATTTGAAATGTTAAACGAAACTGTATTCAGCAGATAGAAGACGCTAGTGTTGACTAGCCAGCGAATTGCGAGTGTACAACCAAAAAAGGGAAAGGCTTTTAGTTTAAAATTCCTTCATTTCAAGACTTCTATTAATTATAGAACAGAATGGTTTATATTTATCTTTATTTAATAAAATGTACAATTTCATGCCCACGTATTCTTGATCATTCGGTACGACACAATTTGGCTACTATTACTCACCGACTGACTCACTCTCATGCTTGCCTAAACTACGTCTCCGAGAACTAAACTTATTTTATCGGTTTTCAGTTGCACCCGATCTGACGTTTATTTCTACGTCTTCCTGACCTTTGCTGCCATTTCAGTGATATTCCTTTATGTTGCCATAAAACAATCCACTTTATTAACGTGTCATAGCGTACAATTAAATTAAAACGTTTAATTTACTACAGTACCTCAACAGGTAAAGTCGTCCATATTTAAAATGTGCAGGTAATTTACCTTGACATTAAGTAGGTGTGCTAGATTAATATATTTGTCGATCTATCAAAATAAAATAAATATTAAAGTAATATTATTACTATTACTCTTAAACCTAACCATACCTTAGTGTCAGGACCTACAACCAGCTTTATCAGATGTATGCCCCTCCCCCGTTTAGTCCACAGTGCAGACACATGGGAGTGCTTACTATACCTAAAATTGATCAAGTTTGTATTGGAGAGAGCCCGGCGGTTCCGGCACACCACCTCGGGGGCGGAAGGCGAGTCGGGGGCCACACGCTGACGGGGCTTCTGCACGGAACTCGGGGCTGGCGCGGGTTGGGTCTCGTATTACGGAAATCAGCCCCGGCGTCGGGCCCGAGGGGGCGGAAGGGGGCGGGGCGGGGCCCCCGACCAGTGTACGAGGAACTGACCGGCCCGAAGCACAATGCCGGTGCCGCCGATAGATTCCGCTAGGGGCGGGGCAGTTGCAGCTCGTCCAATAGTGTCTTATTCCGGAAGCCGCCCACGACAATGTGGCCATTGTGAAAATTCACGCCCCTGCGATGGCTGCATTAACCTGAAAGCACTAACAATGCAAGTCATCTTATACGGAGATGTAAGTGGTCTATTATGTGAGATATTACACCAGTTGCTTAGAAGGTTTTAGGACTTTTTAAGTCTTTCAAACGTGAAAAACTATACCGACAATAGGTGTCGTTGATACATCTGATCGGCTTTCAATTTGATTTATTTTTTCAATAATAAAACCTGTAAGTGACGTGACGTGTAGACCAGAAATATAATCTGCACACGTTTCAGTTCCCGATTCCCTTCTACACCCTCTTATTATATCTTAATATTATGTCCAAGTGGCCTCTGTGACGTGATCATAACGGAAGGCAGACCTTGTCATATACGAAACATTCCTAGAAAAACTAGGTCCAAAAGATTAAATGCGTTTTTTTAACTTTGCATCCAAATATCTAATAAGTGTTCAATATTTCCTGCCAGTATGTGAAGGACACTGTCAATAGTCATGTAAACATATGAGAATACTCGAGAGCCTCGACGGCCACACAAGTGAAAAGGAGAACGGATATACATACACCGCGGTGCTTCGTTAAAAGAGACTAATATTAAAAATTAGTACATTATGAAAGGTAGGTGGATGGATAGAAACAGAATTGTACTTATAGTACAGCACTTTCGGAATAGGATCTGGTTACAAATACACTGAAAAGTGTTTCGTAAATTGTATTTATAATAATTAGTTATTTAATAAGACGAAAGTATGGCATTGACAGTTAAACGATTAATATCCACAAATATCAAATTGTTTAGCAATAGAGACTCATGGAATTAAGTTTACTGTCGAAACAGAGCGCTCATAATTCTTAACCACTCCGTGTCGAACTTCTGAAATTAATGAATCTCTACGAATTCCGCCCTCTGAACTCATTTCCTGACCCTTGATATGCGCGGCGAGAATAGTAAGATCTTTATGCAGGCTCAGG